TTCTCTCTCTCTCTCTCTCTCTCTCTCTCTCTCTCTCTCTCTCTCTCTGTGTGTGTGTGTGTGTGTGTGTGTGCCTGGGTGTCTGGGTGTCTGTTGTGTGGGTATGTATGGGATTCCCTTCTTCCACCACATGGGTCCCAGTGCTGAATTCAGGTCACCAGGCTTGGCTGCAGGTGCCTTTACCCACTGAGCCATCTTATTGGCCTTGCTCCTCTATTTAATGTGGTTTTGTCTGAGTAAATTAAAGAGCTGTGGGTCACATGGAGTGACCTGCCTGGGGACAGCAACAAGAAGACAATAGATGAACTGAAATGAATTGCAGTCTATGTAGCCACATTTCCTCAGAGACAGAAAATGTGCTCACAAGATTTTAAATATAAGAACCTTCATTCAGACTGCTAAAAAACAAAATGAAACCAAGAGAAGACAACCCCAAGGTCAGACATGGTGGTATCAACTCATAATCCCAGGAGGTAGAGGCAGGAGGATGAGGAGTTCAAGGCCAGATGTCCAAACAAACGAATAATCCCTGATATCTTTAAACCAAAACTTTAAAGAATTAATAATAAGGTATATTTGGTTCTCAGATTCTATGTACTTCAAACAAGGAAACTGTACAAAACAATTTACTGTGTTTCCCAAATTTGAAGTTGCTCCTACATGGCTTCCATGATTGAAGGTTGACCAGTTGGCTTTTCCTATAATTATATATTATATGTATTTATATATTATGCTTCACAGCAGCTCACATCAGGAAACTCCCCCAGGATTAAAAAGGTGATCCCACTGTATTTTAAAGGAAAGGCATTAGAGGGAGCTGAGGGCCCAGAGACATGAGCTGCAAAAGTCCACATGACACAGCTCCAAGCCCACGCCTGTGGCAGACCCCCTGCTTCTCCTACACAACCCCCACCCACCCCCAAGAAGAAACTCAATCACAACAGACAGCATCTTTGGCCATCCACAGTCAAACGCCACGAACACACTTTCCGATGAAAAAGGTGAAAGATTTCTAGGACTGAAAATACTTTGGTTTGAAAATTTAAAAACTATCCCAGCTATTTTTTCAATGGTATTCACAACATAAAATGACAATGTGGCCAGGCGGTGGTGGCGCACGCCTTTAATCCCAGCACTCGGGAGGCAGAGCCAGGCTGATCTCTGTGAGTTCGAGGCCAGCCTGGGCTACCAAGTGAGCTCCAGGAAAGGCACAAAGCTACGCAGATAAACCCTGTCTCGAAAAAAAAAAAAATTACAATGTGAAACAGGGAAGATTTGGGCATATTTTTATTCAACTCAGTATTTCCAAAATATAATTCAATGTATGATCAATATATAAAGGTATTATCCATGAGATATTTTAAATTATTTTCAGTTAAGTTTTCAAAATCTAGTATGTATTTTACACTTACTGTGTTTATTTGGATGCCAAATTTTGATTTAAAGTATTTCTCTTTGTGTTGAGATTTCAAAACATTCATACTTGAAAAAGTAGATCCACCCACCCAAGCCTTTCAGCTATACTTAACAGTTTTCCCAGCAACTGAACAGAAAATATGTATTTAAACTAAAAATTTGGTTCGTCCACTGCCCCAGTGACATCTCAACGTGGAGGACTGTGGCGGCATGGAGAACTCCGATGTAGCACCAACTACTGACCATCCTCGTCGGCATCTTCCTCATAACTTGAGTGGCCTTGATGCCTCGTTCTCCTAACATGCTACATTTTCTAGTGAACTGTCACCAGAACTGCTTCCTGCTGGGTCAGGAAGAGGCTTTTCATGGGAACACTGAAAACCTCCATTATGTCTTTCTTGGAAGTGCTAAACTAACCCCCAAAACACTAGTAAAAGGGGTACAACTACATATGTTTCAGGACAAGATGAAACGGGCCTGGGGTGTCTATTTGCATGGCCTAATTCCCGAAAGCCAAGGCAAAGAGCTCTTCATGCTGACGATCTAGAAATAGCTCTACCATTCCCAGTGCTACCTCGTCACGGATCACAGGTACATAAAGCAAATGCTAAACCATTAGATGCTAGACCCAATGATGACAGTGATGGAATTTCCTATTTACCTCATACCTGTGTAATCTTTAACATTATAAAACCCAATAATCAAAATAGATGCTAAAATCTTTGCCAAGGGTGAAATAATTAGCCTACTCAAATCACGGCAGAAATGGAAGACAGGTATTAGAGCTGATTAAGAGAATCCCAGCACTTGGGAGGCAGAGGCAGATGGATCTCTGTGAGTTCAAGGCCAGCCTGGTCTACAGAGTGAGTTCCAGGACAGGCACCAAAACTACACAGAGAAACTCTGTCTCAAAAAAACCAAAGTGTTCAAGTCTCTCCAGATGTGGGATGGGGCAGGGCTGCTCCCCTCACATCCTGGCTGTCAAGCGTCTGGCTTGGTCCTGAAGCTCCATTTTGGCGATTGCGGAGAGGTGGACTTCATCAGGTCCGTCTGCTAAGCGCAGGGTGCGTATTACGGCATACCTAGAAGGGTGAAAGAGTGGGGATCACAGAGCTACCAAGGAATGTGATACTATCATGCTATGTTCATCCCAAACCAAGAAAAAGAAAGAGCACAAGGACATGAAGAGAGAAAGCCAAGGGCTTCTGAAATGAAGATTCAAGACAGCTGCTCAGAGGCACAGATAACTCTGGACTATGGTAACTGATGCTAACGAGGGGAGCTTCTTTACTGTGACTAAGAACTTTGGTGGCAGAATCAGAGCGACCCACTGTCTCTACAGACCCTGCAAGAGTGGGAACACTATGGCAGTTCCAACAGAGGTGTGGACAGAAGTGGGTGTGGGTTCCTTCTGTGTGGCTAGCCCAACAGTGGGAGCAGTAACCCCAGAGTAGGTGCATTGATCCCAAATGGGTGATAGGAGCTTCTTCAGGAAGGGCTGCTGCTAGTTCTGGTCCCTGTCCTCAGCAGTGAGGGGCC